CTCTTCAATGGTCCAAAATGTCAAAAATTCAAATCTGAAATCTGTTATTCAGAATTTCAAGAAAATGCAAAAATCAATAAATACAATATATATCAATATATACTTGTTATCAATATATACTTGAGCAGGTATTGCCTCACCAAGCACTAACCAACGTTTTGAGATTGACAATTCAACATCAAAGTAACAACCCCCAAAAGTGTTTGAAATTGACGGAAAGGATTCGAGAAGTATAACTTATAAACAAAATTTATGTGTCCATGTGAAAATTTTAACTAATCGTTTTTGTAAATGAAAGGAAGCAAGAAAAAGCGATTCACTTGTTGAATTCCATCCGTCTAATACAACCGTTTTTGAGTGCTACTGTCATTTCGCTCAGTCAAATATTCTTCATTGATTTCCTTGTTGAGCTTTTTTGTTTCACAGCTTCCAAGATAAGCAATCTTATCGATAATCAAGTATTGATTCCGTGCTGTTATCCCATTGTGAGATGATATTAAGCTGCAAATTCAATCTTTATTGTGTTTTTCAAGTTTTATGAAGCTATCTTTTCAGCTGCAAAATAAAACGAAAACCGTAAATGATTCCAGAACTGTCTCTTTGAAATCGAAAATTAAAAGAGATTTGTCATCAGCGACTTCATCATTCTCACTTGCTCTCACACATTTCACTTTCTTCCAATACCGCAACCAATCACGCACGCCTGTACAGTTGGTGAACCACTCGTCCAACGTCGAAACATCAGCTGAATTATAAATTTTATAAGACTTTAAACATCCAGAATGAAGCAGTTACAGTGTCAACTTCGATAATTTTGAATTCTTTGACAACTTTTTGAAATATTAATGACGTGCTTCCAATAAAAGGACAGTGACGCACATGACAAAGCATGAAACAATATTTCAACAATTGGGGTTACAATAAAACTCATTCTTTTGTGTAACAGATCGGTGGAAAATCACTCCTAAGTTATATTTAAGAGTAAAGAACTTCTTTAGTCAAAAATATGGTCACCTTCCCTGAACTAATTTGTCGGAAAACTCCGAAAATCATAATGCAAATTTTCTGTCGGATTACCGAAATTAAAGCTACGTTCAAACAAAATTTCCACAATATCCAGCAAACGGGATGACGAAATCTTATAAGTAAAATTAAAGCAATGAAGAGGATATAAGCTAACAATGAACAGCGTAAAACAAAAACGTCTCAGTACTTACACAATGGACAGTGTCAAAGGCTAGCCATACCTCCATGATAACTCGGATGGAGCTTACAAAACTTCTCCCTAATCCTTACATACATAAGGAAAAATCCAGAATAGTTCGGTTTTTCACAACCGAGCAGACGATACATCCTCTTCGCTTATCCTCCGCGTCCAACGACATTTTCCCCATATCTGCCACCACTGGACGGCAAGCTACTATATTCTTTCTATTCGCTAAATACATTTCCCGTAACATCCCCAACTCAACGACCTATCAACTAACCGATCAAATTATTGTCCAAGTCAACGACAAGGTGTTTGTTGGTTGATCATATTACTTGCTTTTTGTATATAATTCATCTATCATTGCTTACCAATTCATCGTGTAATATACATATATATTTTATACCCTTTTTCTTGTTGTTAACTAGTAATATTGGCAAGAACAATATTACATCTCGAATAAATCTGTATCGCCGAGAAACGAGTTCAACAGAAAAACAAATTTCCCAACACAGTTTTGGCATTTCAGTGGGTCACTTGTCAGCATTCCTCTACCTTGGAGAGCGGTAGCCACGGGATAGGATGGAGCTGGATAACCATCTGGACGATTAACGAAGGTAACGCACCTGCATTAATTTCGATTCAATAAAGTGAAACTAAGCTTTCCTACTCCAATCCATCATTGAAGAGAATTGAGTTTCTAAAGATGCTTTTAATGATGCTAAAAATTTTCTAAAGGTCTTTTTTAAAGATGCTGAAAAAAAGCATTGTGTAAACGAGAATCAAAGCAGGTGCTTCTTGTCTCTCAAAAATCATAGAAGAAGATTCCTTCCTAACATAATAGTCACAGACGACAATAATACCGAATCAATGGACCGAATTGACGTTCTTGATAATTCTGATAGTAATAATTTTTTTCCTTGCAGTAATAATCTTTTTAACCATTATGCCACGCCATATTGCAGGGTTCACATGAAAAAATTAAATGAAAAGTTTGAATTGCAGTCAATCTTACTTTGTATTGAAGTTTCCTAAAAATATGCAAAAAGCTTTCTTGAATCATTCCCCATCGACCACTTTCAGGACCCCACAGGCAAAGAGTATCATTTTCTAAATTGCAGAGCAACACTGTGTTATTGTCAATAACGAGTCCTCTGCGATGATCGAAGAATGGAGCCGTTTTGCTCCCGATAAGTAGCAGATCGAACTTTGTTGATTGAATTTTCATGCTTAAATTAAAATTCGAAATTGTGAAAAATGTTGCTAAAGTTTCTTTTTTTTACTCACACTAAAATTTCGTGAAAAGTGGGCACACTTACATAGGCTTCATCAAGGAGGTTGTAATAACGCCTGAATTTTCTGCACTGGACGTTATTCCTTCCACGGTGATCTAAACAGGGTGGCATTTAGAATTCTTCAAATCCGATTAACTTTTGCTGAACATTGAGTCTTATTTCACGAAGTATACTTCATGAATTTTCAATTGAATAGCTATCAAATCAATATAGAGTTTGCGCCAACTACAAGCAAGACGAATTCTAAAAAAATTAAACCAAAATTGTTTTTCGGCATTTCAAAAAAGGCAATATATTCTACGTGATTGTCTGCTTCAATGAGTTATTATTAGGATGTGTAGAACTTTTCCTCCAATGCGGTGACTGCACAAAGCTGATACTTATTCTTTGTTACAGTTTTGCGTGAAAAGAACACTGCCAGATAAGCACCTAAACCAACATTGATGTCATTCATAAGCTTATGGCAAAATTTCAATATAATTGTAGCGGTTAATCAGGATTTTTAATCAGTGTGGTGATTTTTTAATAGCGGTATTACTCTTTGCAGACCGTCCCTGCTCCGACTGTATAATTCCTTACCTAAGTAAGCTGTTACAGAGGCAATTAAAAGAATGTGCCTGTCGTTATTTTTCATAGTGTCAGACCTTTATTTTCTACTTTTACTTTTACCTACTACTCCGTACAAAAGGTCCGTCCAAAAAAAAAAAAGAAAAAACAAAAAAATTGGAAGGGACCAATAAAGATGATTTACTTAGAGTCTACTTCAATGAAAGCATATCAAAACACTTACCTGATACATTTATTTCGCTATGTGTTGCTGAGACGTTTGCCAATTTTGTACAACTTTTAACCAGTCTTGTACAACCACTTGAAAATTTGAGATTTAAAAAGACAAACAAAGTAATAGATAATTTATGACTGAGGTATAAGTTCTGGTAAAAGTTGTGCTTTAGATGAAATTTAAATTAAGGCTATGAATTGACTCTTCAAGGAAATTGATAGTTTATAATTTAATCATCTTGGATTTTCTAGTTGAATTACAGTTTCTTCGTTGAAATACTCTTTCATAGTTGTCATAAATGCTAACATTTCCGGTGGGAGCGAAATCGGCACAGAAAAAGGTAAGAACTACAAAAGTGATTTAGATTTTAATACATTCCGGATCGAATAAATGCCTATATTCGTATGATTTCCAAAAAACAGTTGGACAGGAACAGTATATTTTGCTCGTTTCAATAATTTCCAAGTAGAGGGCGGAGATAAGGTTCCATAACTTTCAGAAATTCTACAACTTCCAACAGCCTTGCTTGAAAAGAATTGAGCTTTTTGCTTTCAACGGCAGAAACCGAATAACAGTAGGAATTTCTCGTTTACATGGTGTCCCACCGTATCCGATATCATCAATTGCGGTCATTCCAACGGCTTTATTCGGTATAATAGCAATCTATGTCATAAACAAATAATCAACATAAATGTAGAAGCGCGATTGCAGATGAATTTTGGTGGATATTAAAGTACAAATTAAGTCAAGTTTTGTAGACATTACTCGAAATGGTTCCTGAACTTGCGGCAGTGAAAGCAGAACTTTTTTCGGCATAAGTTGTGCACCCGCATAGCCGTACAGTTGAATTTTTTGTCCAGTGAATCAACCAAACAAACTTCCAGATTAGGACCACCTGTTGTGAAATTTGAAATTCAGACTAAAAAAATCATTTATTCAACCTATTACAGCTTCTTATATTGTGTTTAAAAAAGAGAAAAGAAAAGAAGAGTTTTGATCAAATTTATTTGAGTGGTGAAAAAATATCATACCCACTATCCAATAGCTAAGTGACAGTATCGCAATTTCATCCTGATATGGTATTTTACTGCTTAAAAAATTATTTGCTTGTTGTCCGCGAAGTTCAATCAGAGCAAATGGTTTCACTTAAATAATACAATGGTAACTAGTCTGTATAATAAAAATCTATGATACAGAGCAGTTTGAAAATATCGTTTACGTTTCACAACATCTTGACAGAACACTATCTTGCTTCAACTTTATGATGAAACTCAGAAGAAAATAAAAGACCTGGTCGCTGATTAGTACCCGTAGACGCCAGCCATAAAAATACATTCGGTTTACCCTGAGCTAATCGCCAGTGGTCTAATGTGACTCCTTCAGAAAACCATCCACACGGAAAACCATCCGAACGTGCAATTGCAGCCAACTACAGCCATGTCAGTTTCATTTGAGCGGTAAATCAGATGTCGTCACGAATATTTCCAAAGTAACCTTAGTGGACTGTTATCACTTTATATTTTGGGATGTAATGCATTTTGGAAGGGATGTAAAGACTTGCTGCTATCAAAATGTAGTTGATGTACATTCTAATTACTTTAACAAATAATGTAAGTTGATTTGAATAGTAAGTATTATAATTCCAATGGCTTTTAAATCAATTTCCTTGTTTCTTGAAGCTGAATATGATCAGCAGAACTGCAGTATTGAAGTCTCTTGAATTTCAACATACCAGAACTGATCTAATAAGGCTGACGTTCAGCATCCAAGTTCTTTAGGAAAAGAATCTTTAAAAAAAGTTAGTCTAAAGATGGTAGGACGAAGATGTTCTTGGGTTTTTAAACCAAATAAAAAACAACCTGAGCAGAACGATGAGATTTTGCGAGATAAGTAATAGCAATTCTGCAGATCCACAATTTCTTAATTGCAGCGACGTTTAGTTATGACTGAAGGGGACATTGATTCAAGTCAGATTGTGGGAGTAGGAATGGCTAAATAATATGATTTGGTATTGCAATGATTATGAAGACAATCTGTGGTAAGGCAGGGATTGTGGATTCGCCGCATTCTACAATAAGTTACTGTCCTGATTTCTAATCAAACATCTTCGAAAAGTCAGTTTCATAGACTTATAAGTAGGGCAAGAAAATGAGATAACTGAGTGGAAATGAATTCTACCGAGTCGCAATGGTATTATGAGATCAGTTTTTGTATGTCTAGGAATTCCAACAACTCCAGCATTTATTTTTGAAAGTAACATTTTTTCTTTCTTTTTTCTTTTATCAAACTAAGTACCTGTAAAATTCGACCAAGAAATGTTGAAGAAGTAAATGTCGTTCAAACAATTGTAGTTGAAGTAGCAAATGTCGTTTCAACAATCGTCATTACTTATTACTTATGAATAATATTCATTTTTGAGGTTTTCAATAGGAACTTCCGACATATAAATAAAACTCCCAAATAGATTCCAACACCGAAACCTTCCAAGTATTGCAATTTCCGAAATTTTGAAAAAGATTTAAATTTACGCAGTCAGCTCAAATAACTAAGAAATTAGCTGGTAAATTTGTATAATGAAAGCAGATGTAACTTTGAAACTTTAGTGGGAATGCAATAAAGATGAGTATATATATATATATATATATATATATATATATATGTAGATATAGATATATAGATATATAGCATTTCATTTAATAAGTATAGCTGAGTTATTATTAAAGACCTGTAGTGGGACGAAAAGAAAAGGATGTAGGAATACGGATCGGAATCGGACAAGAATGTCGATTAGATCAGTTCATTTGAACTTAGCTGAGTGCAAAAAAAGGAGAAAGAGGAAGTGGGTGGGAAAGGAAGAGTGGCTGTTTAACTATTTTAAATGTACCCTACCGACCAGGCGCACCTTGTGTTAAAATACCAGCAAAATTGAAAAAACAACGGAATAATCTTATAGAACAAAGTCGGTTTATGTGTGCAACGGAGGTAATGCTGGTAAGGACTGAGTTGAAGATTGGGTACCTAAAACTTAAAATATGTAAACAATGAATTCACTTACAGATCGTGATTAATAAAAAAATGAGGTGGTGGTTTTGCTACCATACAAAGAAACTTTATTGTAATGTAAATATAATTTTATCATTTTATTGAGGGGGAATTGACCAAACAAAAGAGTATGGACAGTGGTCAAGTATCTACCATTAGTCGTCCTAGAGTGCAAGAAATTAGAGGAATTGTAAACAGAGGGGACTATGTACGGCATCCATAATTTATTTGTTCTTCCTCTCTTTTTTCCTTCGTTCAAAATACAAATTTCCCTTTCTCACGCAAAATTGAGTTCTATGTTATGTTATTTAACACATTGTTGCGGATTATTTCGTATTAAATCCACAAGGCATACTAGAAATGTCATCCAAAATCACTTTAAATTGTAAAGCTAAACAGCAAATTGAGGTATTGCGTAGAATAATTCAAGTGTGAAACATGTAGTTTAATCTGACCCTTATTTCGAGTTCTTATTAAAAGTTAAATTCTTTCGGATTAAAAGAAGCACTCTTTAACGATTCCTGACACTAAAACTAATGATAAAACTAACTCATTAATCTTATACCATTTTACCACGAATCTTCTATCCTGAAAAAGAAGCATATTTTGAACACATTTATTTAAAGCAAAATCGCATATAAGCAAAAAAGTTAGAAGGAAATGAATGCAAACAGTAATTGATACCAGTCAAAAATATCGTGAATGTTCTATATTCACAGAATTTGAGTATAACAAACTTCAAAATTGTGCGAAAAAAATCCATAGCATTTAAACTAACTTTCTAGAAAAAATGAAGAGTTCTAACAACTCTAACACAGACTGATTATCTGCTGTAAATCAATTGAAATTGTGATAGCTGAGCGTAAATTATGAAAAGAACAGGGAAAATGAAACTAGCCAAAAAAAAAACAGCCCATTCTGTCATTGCCATATTTCAGTGCTTGGCAACTGAATAGCTTGTGTCTTCCCCTGCATTTGAACCATTACATTCTTTTTCGAATCTTGGCTAAAACACACTGAAAATTTTTTCCTCTAAAGAAAATAATTTCGGCCTCGTTCTGTTTGTTAACTTATTAGTTTTCTTTTAAAGCCGAAATCGATAGTCTAAGCCTAGTTTGAGGAAAGCTAGTAAAACTAGCTTTCCTTGTTTCTTCTGTCTTTTCATGTAAATATGCGCACTACTCCAGTTTAATTCAGAGTTATTTAAAATTGCTCGCCATAGACATCGCAATACCGAAAAACAACACATAGAAGGATTCCAGAATCATGGAAAAGAGTTGTACAAAAACGGTTTTAGCGCGCACTGGGGAAGAAATACTTTTACTGGGACTCGAAGTGATTTTTTTGGTAGAACAAGCGTTGGAAATGTAGGAAAGATATCTCAAATGTTGAGGAGTTTACAACTAATTTACCTCCAAAAATAATTGGACCTTTCAACAAGCAAGAATCAACGTTATGAAACAATTGATAATCAATTATATGAACTGTAATATTCCTTTGCAAAAAACCTTCTTAAAAAACAAAATGAACTTTTATAGCAATCTAACTGTGTTTTTTACAATTTATTTATTTGAAGATGAATTCTTATTGGAAAAGATTTCCCACATTCTGAGGAACCAGGCGTTCTTTTTTAATCAGTACGAATTGAGACAGCAGCATTTTTATATTTCTCCTCAACATGAACAGCATAGAATCGTTCATAATAAATCACGAAGAATGTCTAGTTATGCATTGTAGTATATCTACTCTAGGATAGCCCTGTACGAAGCTGCGTATCAACGACTTGGAAAAGATTCCGACCAGTCATCAAGGTCGTCTTTAATCCATCCGTTTATTATACAGCTGATAGCTCTGAATGGCTTGGATACTTTAAATTCGTTAAGTGACATTTGATGTTATGGACTTGCCTGAAGGCTTTCAGAAACATACTTCGCCATAATTCAAATTCTGCCAAAGCCGTAGTAACGTATGCAAGTTGGTTCTTGGGAGCAATAATAAATCTAGTGGGTGGAAGAGTCATCTTTGCAAATCTCATATCTGAACGTGAAACCTTTGGAACTTGATGGAAAGTTCGTAATTCACTGAAAATATGCATGTCATTCTATCACAGAGCTAATGATAAGTGGAATTCCGGGATCAACGTAAAACAAATGTGGTGGAATCAAAAACCAATGATGGAAAAAGTAAAGAAGCCAGTAACTGGACTTTATTCTATGCCATCCAATACAGTTTGAATCATGGAAATGTCACTGAGTTCACACATTAATTTAATCGTATTACCAGTAATTCAGAATACCTGTGAGAAATATGATCTGAAATGGAAATGTAATGAAATTTACTGATCAAAATTATTTGATTTTAAGATTAATATGTTAATATACGATCTCACGGACAGGAGAAAATTCTCTAAGGGACAATCTTGCAGAGAAATATGATCTGAGATGAGAAAATAAGAACAGATTTGAGATTTTTGTTTTTCAGAGGTCAGACTTCTAGGATCAACGCCTTAATTTAATGATTTATAAAATTTAATCAGACCCTTAATTTAATAATTTATTCAAATTCGAGAATTATGTGGATACCAATTGCACATGTAATAAAAGCATTTTTGCTACATGTGCGTTATATTTGTGGTTAATAGAAAGTACCAATTTACTTAGACAATCAACAACTCAGTAATCCAATTTCAAATGGGGCATACAAGCAGCATTATCACTCGTTGCGTTGTATATACCACCAGCCTGTTAACCTCAGGAAGTGGATATTATACTGATTTTGATTACTTCCAAAAAATTCGGACGAAAAGGACCAGTGTCACAGGGAGTTATCCGAAGGAAAAAAAATGACTATTTTACCAGGGATCCGGCAAAGATATATATGTTATTCAAGATGGGTAATTTTTGCTCTTTCTATGTTTGCTACTTCTATAGAACTAAAAATCGATCTCTTCTCACCCTTCTGCGGATTTGCTTTCGTCGCATTGTAGTATAAATGGATAGTTCAGATGGACCAATGGATTAAAGAAATAGGTGGATATTTTGACTTATTAAGTGATTAAATTAGGTTATATATTAGTATATTATTTTCGGTTAGATGGAACAGATAGATAAGTAGGTAGATAGATAGATGGATAAATAGAGAGATAGATTAGATAGATAGATAAATTGATAGATAGGTAGACAGACAGATGGATAGACAGATTAGGTAGATAGATTAGATAGATAGATAGATAGATAGATAGATAGGTAGATAGGTAGATAGATAGATAGATAGATAGATAGATAGATAGATAGATAGATAGATAGATAGATAGATAGATAGATAGATAGATAGATAGATAGATAGATAGATAGATAGATAGATAGATAGATAGATAGATAGATAGATAGATAGATAGATAGATAGATAGATATGGACATATAAATATAGGCATAGATGTAGATATTGATATATCACTCATTGTTATTTGTATTTTCATCACATTAAAAGTTTGCGATTTGGTGCATATTTGTCCTAAGCAACGGATGTTAAATTGTTTTACCGAATTTCTCGTTTTCTCTTACAAAAAAAAATTACTGTGAAATTATAGAAATTTCACGCAAAAATGTTGGAAGATGGTGATCAACAAGTGGTTCAGCCATTATCAATTACCTTATCACTGTTGTCATTACTAGCTAAATTAAACAGTAAATGTGGGTAAAATTAAAATTATAACCTTTAATTATCCGTTTAGTCTTTGATTATTTGTAGGCAATGTAATGATATAAGATAGTGAGGAAGGGGAAAGGAATACCATACTTCCAAAACACTTTTTCAGTAGCGCTTTCTGCATGTTATTTGAATAATCCGACCTTGATAGTAATGCGATCATTATCTTTCATCTGAAACAACGGAAAATTGTTTTACTGCTTTCTTGCACCATTCATTTGTACAATTTTTCTCAATATTCCGTTTACTTTCCTTATTTTTCTTCCCTAAAACAATTGTTTTCTGTAATATTTCGACCGTTACTAATTTTCAATCGCTAAACGCCTTGAATCAGAACTTACTTTTCCGACCGCATAATTTAATTTACCGCTTAAGATCATCGGCAGATATCTACGGAAACGAAGTGATTGAGGATAATCTGTGAAATAGTATGAGTCAAGACTGTCCGTTACATCTGAGACGCTTAACGCCTGGGATCTTGTCATTGATTAGAAATTGAAACAGTCAGTCTTCTAATCATCGTAATATGTTTAGCAGAAAATACTCTTTCGTTTCTTTTAACAAGGCCGAGATTCTAATCAGTTTTCATTTGAATAGTTCTCATCGTCACTAATCTTTCAATTTTTATACCTGGTAATTAAAACTGGAGTTGAAATTTCGTCTTTCATTTCCATCAGTCATTTAAATGTGAAAAAATCTAGGCTGAAAATCCATTTCGAAATGAAGAAGCAGAAGGTAACTGGTTTATGAAATCAGTATTCTTGTGGTTTCTAATGAAAAAAATTGTTTACATCTTATTATCCAGTAATGTTTACCCATCTATTAATCGAATGGAACTTCCTCAGAATCTGTATTGTACTTGCATTAAAATTAATATGAATTTACGATATGAGCCCATAAACTGAAGTTACCGATATAGGCGCATAAAAATGAAAGCCGGAAAAATGTGAAAAAATGACAGTCTAGCGAAGAGGAAGGTAAGGATTCTCTGGTCTAATAGACTGTTTCTTTCGATATTACCCACAAACATTGAATTAAAGAACGGAGATTTTAATAAAGTTTTTCTGGAAGTGAAATTCTCAAAAATCTAAACTTCTATTATTCATAAAATCTGAGTTGTATACGACTTTATAATTGACTAATGTTACATCTTTCTCAATCTCTAACCTATTATTCAGGTAACTTCAAGGAACGTTTAAGTACTTTCGACCAAAACTGTAATTTAATAACCAAGCAAAAGTAGCATAAGTAGCATATGCTTATTTGCGCATTTTTCTTAATCATCAGTCAAGTTGTCAGAGAAACTTTAGGCATGATGAGGAGTGAAATGAATAGTAAAAAGAAGAAGAAAAACAGATGAAAACTGAAATGGAACTGTAAGCTGAGAATGTCTTCGGTTACTCATTGAAAACCAATTAATGCTAAAGTTGAACAGTTTAGCAAATTTACATTTGCAAAAACCAAAACAACCTTAATTAATCAAAAATATATCTTAACATCAGTGACAAGGTTTCATGTTGTCCAATATGTATTGAACGAGAAGTTGTTTGGCTAGCTTATCGGCATTTCTTCAAAAGTTTTCGCTTGAGCTCAGTCCACAAAACAGTCTGTACTTCTGCCCCTTGTTTCAGAACCGTTTCTTATTACTGCGCTCAAGACCCAGTTAGTTTCCGTCTCAGCTAATTTTTTTTTAATAACATTTCTCATTGTTATATTTTGAAGCACTAAGCTTTGAGAGGGACTTTGAGAGACTGTCAATGGGAATATCAACTTTGAAACTGTACATATGTGAAGAAAGAAGTGGGAGGGTTACAAGAAACACATGATGTTCCATGGAACACATTTCCGATAAGCAAACTGATAGGAGCTTATCAGTGTTGTATGCTTCCTTCGAATCACCGATCTCTTCCTCTCTTTTTTTTCAACGCCTGTTATTATGAATGGTTCCTTTCGATGAATTACATTTTGACTGGACTTTTTTACATTACTGATGGGATAAAGTTGACCTTTGTTTAAATGTTCTTTTTTTAAATTTCACCTAGATTCTTTTTCACTTTTCTCTAAAATTGGAATTGAAAAAGGAGTGACATATGAACTTGAATTTCGAAAAAAGGAATTCTCTAATCAGCAGATATTTTCAAATTATATGCTGAATATAAAATAGAATTTAAGAAAACTTCTTTTCACCAACTTTTCATTTAGTTACACGTTTTTCACTATCAAACAAATATCGCTACCACTCGTCATTGCTTACGTTATCATTGTTGAGCATGCTAAGTACACTTGTTACTGTCACCTCATCAACCATCAATATAACTATTTTTTTATTCTTTTACATGTACCTTATTTAATTAGACATTAAATTTATTTTAGCACTAACCTCCATCATTTTATTTCAGTTCTCTTTTCTGCCTCATCCTATAACCGATTTAGATTAGAATATTTCTGCATTTAACTCGCTTCAGATGGAAAATTTTTGTTAGACAGTCTTTTTTTCCAGAATTACATATCACCCATCCAAAGATAGCCTTTTCTAGAATTGATGATGCAGGTGACGTACACTGTTGTATATAATGATCGTAGCGCAGTACAAGTGACGTACGCTTACACGTTTTGGAGCTTACGATTAGAATACTTGCGTGTATTTTTAACAAAAGTATGGTCATTGATGTAGAAAACTATTATTTCTCTCACTTTTTTT